CAGTGTTGGGGAGTAACAGATTACATGTACCGAAGTAATCAGAGTACAAATTATGTTACAGTTACTTTGTTGAAATAAATGGATTACATGGTGGTATTTTCCTGTTTTCATGTTTTGGGATAAACTAGGACAAAACCAGGACTAAAACCAGGACTAAACCAGGATTAAACCAGGATTAAACCAGGACTAAAACCAGGACTAAAACCAGGACTAAACCAGGACTAAAACCAGGACTAAACCAGGATTAAAGCTGGTCTAAACTAGAACTGAAACCAGGACTAAACCAGGACTAAATCAGGTCTAAACCAGGACTAAAACCAGGTCTAAACCAGGACTAAACCAGGATTAAATCAGGTCTAAATCAGGTCTAATCCAGGACTAAAACCAGGACTAAAAGAGGTCTAAACCAGGACAAAACCAGGACTAAGACCAGGACTAAACCAGGACTAAACTAGAACTAAAACCAGAACTAAAACCAGGACTAAACCAGGGCTAACCTAGATCTAAAACCAGAACTTAAACTAGGACTAAAAGCAGGTCTAAACAATATGACAGCTAACAGTAGGTGGACATCATTTAAAGCAGCAGTGATCTCATATAAAAATCATTTTTCTATCAATAATATTTTTATACGGTTAAGGAAAGACTGGGCTTTTTATTGTCTTTTAACAGATAAAACTTCTCATGTTCAGATAACCTCGGCTTTGCTTCTCTACAGTAAATAAATACCTGTTCAAGGAGACTTGTTCTCAACAGCCAATTTGAAAAGAACAAACAAGAATTTTCAGGATGTGGTTGTTACATTCATGCAGTTTTAAAAAGCATGACAATATCAAGTAATCCAAAGTATACAGATTACGTTACTCACCTTAAGTACCTTAATGGATTCCGTTACAAACTACATTTTGGTGTATGTAATCTGTAATCTGTAGGGGAATACATTTTAAAAGTCACCTTCCCAACACTGATTATCAGACATGCCAAACTTTTCCTTTTGACCCCTCATGTCCACTCCACATCGCTTCTGTTTAGCAGTGCCCTTTGGCTGACCCCGACACCCTCCCTCCCCTCTCCCGGTCCATCCCTCTCCCTCCCTCCACCTCTCTCTTTCTCAGTATTTCTCTGACTTTTGCTGTGAATGGCTCCCTCACCCGCTCCGGTCTTGGGCGCGTGCCACGGTACGGCGCCGCGTGCCAGCTCTGCCTACATTAGCCGACTGTTCGCTCCGGCGCGCTCTGCCAAAATGCGAGCGTTTTCATTGGCAAGCTGCGCCCGTGCTGGTATTTAAAGTACGGTCCTGGCCGCGCATGTGAAAGCAGAATCAGAGTGGAGGACATTACTCACAAATATTAGATTATCAAACATGGCAGTGCGTTTTTTAGTGATGTAACGTGAGAAACAGCGGCCAAAAAGTGTTTTCAGAAGTGAGCGAGCCGACGGTTAACTGTGCTGGAAATGGGGCTATGTTCACGGTGTAGTAAAACGGTAAAGTGACATTACAGTTCTCTCCAACGCAGTACGCAAACTTTACTAACTACTTGTGTTCAGCTTAGCATGAAAAAGAGCGCAGGGACTCCAGCTGCTGGTGCACGACAACAACAGAGCAAACAGAACGCAGCAAAAAACAATGGAAGTTGCAAGTGTTAAAGTTGTTTATCTGAGGAGGTTGATGGTTCGACTGCTGCATTGCATTTCACTGTTGTTGTATCATCAAAAACCTACCTTGAGTTGTGTTTTGTTTCATTCACACGTTTGAGTAATCCTGCTTTATTAGTCTGTCTGCATCGCCAAAACTCTAAATGATCTGTTCCAACTTGTGTCGTTTTTAAGTTAACAGCTCCTTTTACCTTTAGTTCAGTAGAAAGAGGCAATAGTCTCTATTCTCGCTTACAAAACAGGAAGACGTTTGGAAAAATGCGACAACTTCTGGCGGGCTCTGGTCGCAGTAGTAACTGACAAAATTTAAGAAAAATGAGAAAATGTCTGCACTTTCTTCATCTCTGTGTCATTGTAGTGTTCTGTTTTGTTTGGCTAATCAACAATTACAACTAGGGATGTAACAATAACTGAAATATCGTGATATCGTCGTATCGTGGGCTGTCACAAATGTAGCTGTCTAAATGTGAACTTTTAGTTAATGTAACTCTAAAAACATAACGTTAATGGGACAGTCTGGTATTTTGGACATTTCCTAGTGAGTCAGAGTGTTGGAGACGTGTGGAGACACTTTCTGAAATATTCCATCCAGTCCTTGTATTTGCAGAGGTCGCTGGTGCTAGGCTAGTGCCTGTCAATGGCCATAGTTAGCCTGCCACTAAAAACAGTCTTACCCACTCCACAAAACACCTGAAACAAATCTATTATTACACCAGACTGTCTGTGTGAATGTCTGTGTCAATAGAATCATGTTTGAAATAAAAGTAACCTTGCATGGCATGAATTGTTGCATGTTGAGGGACTATTTTCTCTTATATCGAATCACAAGTTCCTTTGCTTAAATACCTTGTTTTACAGTAGGAATAGTAAAAAACATGCATAACTACATATCCCTTGATTCGTTTCAGTACAAACAACGTAAAGAAATATATTTTTTACTTTAATTCTTGAGATTATGACAGTAGTGATTCGAACCAAAGTCTTGTCAAGGTATTTCAAAAGCTACCCACACATTTATTAGCTTCTCCTAAAGTTCGCAAACCGTCAGATAGATATCGTAACAATATCGTACCATAAGATTTGGATATCATTACATCCCTAATTCCAATCACACCTAAGTTTCCCAATTGACACACAACTCCGAGAGCACTGGGTACATGCGATTAGAAGAGATGAGGCCAAATTCCAGATGATTCCAAACAGCACATACGTCTGCAGTCTTCGTTTTACCTCTGATCATATTAAATTCAGTGGGTTTGATCACAGTCAGTCAGTGACTCCAGTGTCGGGAACTACACCGGAAGTTGTAATCGCATGTGACGTAAACGTGAACGGAGACTATTCTAGGGCTGAAACCAAGATTATATGAATGGCTTGAGCAGTGATTTGTTGAGAGAAAAAGGCAGCAGGCTGTGATTGGTTGCCTGGCAAATCCAAAATAATCAGTCCAATCAGATGTCACCAATTATTTTGAAGAAAATCAAACTTCTCTCACCTCAAATGAACAGACTTTAGTGCTTTGCTCATTTATTTTGAACAAATACTCCATGTTTTTTTCAGTCTTATGTGATATTTTAAGCAGCTATATTTGTTTTGGTACAGACCAATCAGGGACACACATGGACCATGTGTGTCCCTGATTGGTTAATACACCTGTCAATCAAGTCCATCTGACCTTCGAGAGATTCACCAGTGACCAGACTCACATCTTCGTGAAGAGTTAGAGTTATGGATCACACAGACACGTGATAAAAGGGAGTTTCAATTTAATTTTAGTTTTACTTGTGAACAAAACAAGTCTGTACATGCATCAGATCAGTGTATATGCAGATTGGCACTGTTACCATGGCAATTATCAATAAAGAATCTTTTGAATGTCATAGATATGTTTATAAGCTTCAAAATGATGGAACAACTGGGATCTTTTCAATAGTAAAAAGTCCTCAAAATGGTGTCTATAACAGGAAACTGAAACCGATGAATAGAGAGAAGCACGATTTGGGGAAAAAAAGAAAGTAATTTGTTTTGATTTTATTTTTTCTGGTATATGTATAAACCATAGGATTCTGTTCAGAGTGCACACTGTAAACAGCTCCAGGACTGTTGGCTGAAATATGATCTGATAAACTGTACAAAAATATCTAAATAACTGCAGCCTTTGTTATTTGGTAATTGTGCCAACTGAACCTACGATTTTTTTTTTTTTTTTTTTTTTTGCTTCATATTGGGCAGCCTTAATGAATACACAAATAGGCTATCATCGAATTAAACTGAAACAGCTTATGTCGATTGTTTTGCGCACATGTTGAACAGGTTTTGGGGTTGTAAAGTGTGTCCTGAGGCAAAGAAACAGGTGTGAGAATGTTTCTACCCAAACACGAATCAGTCCTGTGCTGCAGAGGAATGCACGAGAGCCCCCAGACCCCCACAGAGCCCTACAGCAGCTTACAAGCACCGATACAGACCCCCACAGACCCCCACAGCAGCTCACATGTACAGATACAGACCCCCACAGACCACCAGAGCAGCTCGTGATCACAAATACAACAGATATTACAAAGAGCAGTGATCCGTGTGAAGAACACCACATGTGTTCATTGTAGTGGGGCATACATCCACAGAAGGATAGAGATGTGAAAAATATGAATTATTCTTTGCTGGTTACGGCTTTTACAAAGAAATACAACTAAGTGAACACATTTTTTAAGGGTTTAATGAAAAACATTTACTTGTTGTACAGAAATAATGTCAAATGTACAAAACAGGAAGACGTTTGGAAAAATGCGATGACAACTTCTGGCGGGCTCTGTTCGCAGTAGTAACTGACAAAATTTAAGAAAAATTAGAAAATGTCTGCACTTTCTTCATCTCTGTGTCATTGTAGTGTTCTGTTTTGTTTGGCTAATCAACAATTACAACTAGGGATGTAACAATAACTGAAATATCGTGATATCGTCGTATCGTGGGCTGTCACAAATGTAGCTGTCTAAATGTGAACTTTTAGTTAATGTAACTCTAAAACATAACGCTAATGGGACAGTCCGGAATTTTGGACATTTCCTAGTGAGTCAGAGTGTTGGAGACATGTGGAGACACTTTTTGAAATATTCCATCCAGTCCTTGTATTTGCAGAGGTCACTGGTGCTAGACTAGTGCATGTCAATGATCATAGTTCTCCAGCCACTAAAAACAGTCTTACCCACTCCACAAAACACCCCAAACAAATCTATTACATCATCGCAGTCTCCAAACTTGTCACTGTCACTAACTCTAACCTTCTCAGTCTCCATAGCCCTGTTGTATGTGGTCAGTCCGTTGTAGCTCACAGCTGTGGTCCTGTCCAGGCTCCATGCTCAACGGCTGGGGGTCGGCCTCAGAGGAGGAGGGGCCCTTCTCCAGCCACAGGTCCAGTCTGGGCAGCTCCTCCGACGGCTCCATCTTCACCCACTGCTCCTTCACCCAGGCCCTGGTGGTGGCAGCCGACCGGGCGGGCTACAGGCTGGAGGGCACGAGCCTGAGCAAGAGAGGTGTGTGCTGGGGCTCCTCTTCGGCTCTGTCCTGGGGCCCCTCTGCAGCAGTGTCCTGGGGCCTCCCTTTGGCTTTGTCCTGCTCTGGCTTCTGAATATCTAATCCATATTTCTGCTTTCTTTTCTGTTAAAAATGGTGATTTGTGTTTTCTACATGAAGAACACTGTTGATCAAATACTGCTGAATTTCTGAAGTTTTTAAGGTCCCATCTTCTCTATCTCCTCCTACACTTTTTATTTCAACTCATACAGCTGTGTCTGAGGTAGCCCCATGCGATAATGGTAACAGTTATTAAAGCTGCACTATGTAACTTTACTGGAGGGTCTGGAATGTTTCTCTGTATGGCATGCAACTTACAATCTCCATGGAGACCAGCAGCTGTTTTTGGTAATGACACAACATTTGTAAAACAGTGCTACTTTAATTGTGAGCCCATGGGTTTGACCAAAATATAAGTGTTTCCTAACCTCCTTCTCTAATATTTCACTTTTTTCTTGGTGCATCTTTTCCTCTGCAGATATTTCCTGCTCTTTTCCAAATTGAAAATGTTAAAAAATCAGTTCTGAAAGTCTAATAAAGTATCCGTATGAGTAACTGTGAGATGTGTGTTGTTTAGGTAAAGCCCTGTCCCACCGGCCGAGGCCCAGCAGCCCCTTCTCCACAGACGGCAGCACAGGGGGCTCCCACAGCCTGGGGCACCCGAGGGCCCCCCGAGCCCAACGCAAAGGCCGCACCCCAGGGACCACGCCCCACCGGAGGGACCCTGCAGCAGACGGTGAGCAGCACCAAAGTTGAACTATTCACGAAGACAGTTAAATTGAATAAAAGACGCTCCAATGGACTTTTACTTATAAACGTGAAAACAGAACGAGTTCATTATAAACAGTTTGCAGTCATCCAAAGTTCTTCCTCACCTCCCTTATACATTCAGAGCATCTAATAACTCACCACAATCAGTTTATTAATGCTCTCTCTGAGCCGTGAGAGTAACGCTAACAAGAACTAACAGGCTAATGTGCACTTCCTGATGTGGGACAATGAAACACATCCAGTAACTTCTTGGGTTCTTTTTAAAGACAAGGCTGTAAAGTGTGTTTACCTTGTTGACATGTTTCTGCTGCTGCTGCATCTTCAGAACTGTCACCGGTGTTGGTGGTGACGTGTCGTATATCAGCTGTTGTTACTTCCTGTTACTGCATTGTCTTTAAAAAGAACCCAAGAAGTTAAAGTATATAAGAAGACAAAATGAACATCTTTGGCAAAACACATCCAGCACACAGTGTAATAACAGCATCATCATACTTTCACCTCAAGAGCTTTTTATACAATATCTGCACTGGGGCAAGGCACATTTGGCTCAGTTACATTGAAAAATATTACGTCCAGAGACTGTAAACAACTTTATCAGGGAGTGCATGTTAGCATGCTAGTTGTTAGCTTTACTGCAAAACTCCACTCTAGTTTTTGAGAGTTGTGAAATGTGCTTATGAACTCATTGTGGTGAATAATGAGGATGCTCTGAATATTTAAGGTAAGTGAGGAAGAACTTTGGTCCTCTGCAAACTGTTTAGAATGAACTAGTTCTGTTTTTCATATTTTAAAAATCAGGTCCTTAACACCCGGCCTCGTATCAGCATTCAAAAAAGTCTCTGTCTTCTATGACGTCTGCAGCAATGTGCATCATTTCTAACAAAATAACACATTTTTTATCTTAAAAAAAAAATAAAATAAAATAATAATAATAATAATAATAAACAAACTATGCAGTGTTAGTAAGTTATAACTCATCTTTCCGTGTGTCCCGTGGCAGACCTACCTCCTCCTCCAGAGCCCCCTCCCTGTCAGGGCCAGGGCCGGATCCAGGGGGCCCGCAGCGTGGGCAGCGTGGCGGCCCCCGGAGAAAGGAAGGCGTCCTCATTGGAGCGGCCCCCCATGTCCGGGCCCCCCCTGTCCGGGCCCCTAGAGCACCACAGGCAGGTCCAGGAGAGGCTCGGCTCCATGGAGCGCTCCGAGGACCCCCGCAGGGCACACAAAACAGGTACTCCACTGTAGTCAGAGCCTGAGCCGACACAAGACATGCTCAGGACTCACAATGCATCTTCATTCTAAATTACATGAAAACTATATTAGCCTGTAAATATTTGGGTGACAGTTGCTCAGTGGGTAGATGTTTGCCCACTGATCCCAAGGTTGGTGGTTTGAATCCTCATCATTGGTTGAGCATCAGATCCAATGACTCACTTGCTGCACACTTGTTGTTGCGATTCCAGCTCCTACAGATGAATGCTGTTGTTGTGTCCTTGGGCAAGACACTTAACTCACTTCGCCCCCAGTGTTTGCGTACACTGGTGTGTGAATCTGTGTGTGAATGTGTGTGTGAATGTGTGTGTGTGTGAGTGGGTGAGTGGTTTGTTGTTGTAAAACGTTTTGAGCTTTGAGCCTTGAAAAGCTCTGTATAAAAATGTGGTACAAGAGTTGTGCATTATTATATTATTTTTTGTCTGAAGCTGTCACCATGGTAACTGTTGAACATTCCACCACAGACATACATACAGAACACCCCCAGCATGATGTCACTATAGAGTATTAATAGTTGGTGCCTGTGTCCACTAACTGACAATAACCAACATGAGCAAACTCAAACTGGGACATTTGTTTGTGCTTCAGTCCTCTGGTCTCTCTTGTCCTGTCCCCTCGCTGCAGTGAGGTGTCCTCTGTGACCCCGTCCTCGTGTCCTCTGTGACCTCGTCCTCGTGTCCTCTGTGACCTCGTCCTCGTGTCCTCTGTGACCCCGTCTTCGTGTCCTCTGTGACCTCGTCCTCGTGTCCTCTGTGACCTCGTCCTCGTGTCCTCTGTGACCTCGTCCTCGTGTCCTCTGTGACCTCGTCCTCGTGTCCTCTGTGACCCCGTCCTCGTGTCCTCTGTGACCGTCCTCTGTCCTCTGTGACCTCGTCCTCGTGTCCTCTGTGACCCCGTCCTCGTGTCCTCTGTGACCCCGTCCTCGTGTCCTCTGTGACCTCGTCCTCGTGTCCTCTGTGACCCGTCCTCATGTCCTCTGTGACCTCGTCCTCATGTCCTCTGTGACCCGTCCTCATGTCCTCTGTGACCCCGTCCTCATGTCCTCTGTGACCCCGTCCTCATGTCCTCTGTGACCCCGTCCTCATGTCCTCTGTGACCCGTCCTCATGTCCTCTGTGACCTCGTCCTCATGTCCTCTGTGACCCCGTCCTCATGTCCTCTGTGACCTGGTCCTCATGTCCTCTGTGACCCCGTCCTCATGTCCTCTGTGACCCCGTCCTCATGTCCTCTGTGACCTCGTCCTCATGTCCTCTCTGTTGATAAATGGTTGGACTCTCACACTCTGACAGTGACATGAGTTTTGGTTGTGAACGTTCATCGTGAGCTTCATTTCACGACCATCAGCCAAACTCTGCACTCTATCTGTCTGTATATATACTCTACCTCTCTCTATCTCTCTTCCCCTCTCTCATTATTTCATCCTTTCTCTCTCGCTCTCTATCTCATTGTTTCACCCTCTCTCTCTCTCTCTCAAATTTTTTCACCACCTCTCTCCTTCTCTCTCTCTCTTTCTCTATCTCTCTCTCTCTCTCTCATCTCTCTCTCTCCCTTTCTCATTGCTTCACCCTCTCTCTCCCCATCTCTATTTCATTTGCACCTTCTCTCTTATCTTCTCTCTATCGTTCACTCCCATTCCTCTTGTTCTCCCCCTGTGCCACCCTTTCTCTTTTCAGTCCTTTTTCTCTCTCTCTCTTCGCTCTTTTCTGTCCTCCCTCTTCTCCTCCCCTCTCTCCATCCTCTCTCCATCCTCTCCTCCCTCTCTCCCAGTGCCAGGACCGGAGTGGTGCGTGTGACCTTCATCTCTCCGTCCTGCAGCTGTTGCTCTCCTCCATCTCCACGAGCAGATGGATAATAGACGGCGTTTAACATGGCTTCCATAAATCCAACATTAACAAAACGCCTCACCCTCTTACACGCGTGCCCCACACACACACACACACACACACACACCACACACACACACACACACACACACACACTCCTAACCTTCACCATAGTCGCTACTCGCCGAACCTGAACCACGACAGTAAATCTGTAAAATCGACTCCTAAAGCTTTTTCTCTTGTTATACGTTGGGTATAACCCAATACATGCATCACAGTTTTCGGATTACTGGTCATTGCACAATTCATACTGGGAAGGATTTTCCAAAAAAGTGAGCATCAAACCGCCATATTTGTTTTCCCAGTGGGATACGTCTTTTGACAAAGTCGATCTTTTCTAGTCTTTTGAACCATATCACTTTTGTTTCTGGTTCTGATATTGTCATATTTTAGTTTTGGGATTCAGACATCATATTTGTGTGGTTGTTGGATCCTAACAGCAGAAAAAGTAACCAACTTGGTTATGAATTTAAAAAGTCAACACCAAAGCGAAAGGCACCAGCTGTTCACCAAGAAACACCTTCCACTGCAAAGAGACCAAGACTTGATGTTGCTGTAAAACCACAAGAACAAGAAAGTGCAGCTCAGTCTGTTTGTCTTCTGCACCTCTCACTTAACAAACAGGATCCTGCTTTGTTGTCGCGCCACATACAAAATGTTCTCTGCAAACTCAAGGTGATTTACACAGTCAAATGTTTCCTTTTTGGTCCTTCCTGTAGATCAATCCTGCCCATCACCTTCACCTTTCACTATTTTTCAATTCCGTTGGTAAGAAAAACTGTTTGAACGGAGGTTTGCAGTCACACACATCTGATTCCCTTTTGCATTTATGGAGATCACAAACTTCCGAAGCCCATTTCTCGAGCGGTTTTCTGCTGTAAGGACATCCAACAATCATACAATTACGATGCCCAAATCCCAAAATTAAAATTTGACAATATCTGAACCAGAAAAAAAGTGATATGGTTCAAAAGACTTGAAAAGATCTGCTTTGTCAATAGACACATCCCACTGGGAAAACAAACATGGCGGTTTGATGCTCACTTTTTCAGAAAATCATTCCCAGTATGAATTGCACAATGACCAGAAGTCCGAAATTCGTGATGCATGTATTTGAACCCACCTTATGGTTTGCTGTTAAATTCTGTTCGAGGCTCCGCCCACAAGTCTCCATCCCCCATGTTCCCACACGACAATTCTCCATAAATACAGAAAAAACATGATACAAAACCCTACACAGCAACTGCACAAATGAGTCTGTGACGTTTGCAGTTTTCAAATGCTCAAAAAAATGAAATGAAATGAAATGCCCCTTGAAAAACCAAAACAAAAAAACAAAAAAAAAAATACAAAACAAAGAAATAAAAAAAAAAAAAAAAAAACTTTGATTGAAAAAACAAAAAAATCTGCATTTAAATCTAGAGACGTTTTTAAAATGTGTTTTGGCGCAACTGACATGTTGTTAAAATGTAATTGCATTTAACATCACTTATATTATTGAAAATGATGAAAAACACAAACTGAGATCTACAAATAAATCGTAGGGCATTAAATATGTTTAGTTTTTTCTTAAAGTTTTGAAGAATTTCACAATTTGCCCTAATATGACTTTAACTCTCAACTCTGGTACCTTTTTTTTTTTTTTTTTTTCAAAAGTAAAACACTTTGAAACTGGATACATTTTAAGCATGTTAGCACTTTCGTTCTTTGTTGAAATTGAAGTTGAAATTGAAGTTCTTATATATAAAAAAAAAAAAATTCTGATGTGATGCACACTGATTGTGTTATGATAGTGCTCTGAAGGGGGGAGTGACTTAGCGCAGGGAGCTAACAATAAAAGATGTGTGACCTGATTTGTGTGAGCGTCAGGCAGACAGGCCCATGACGTGAACGTGTGTAGAGATTTGAGTTAAACACGTGTTCACATCCACTCCTGCTGTGAGGGAGACAGGTATTTTACACAAAGTCAAATCGGCGCCGCTGTCATCCTCTAACCGTGACCATAATGTGGAAATGGAAGTTGAAATAGTCTCAACAGCAGGTACATGGAGATATGTTTAAGAAGAAGATGAGGAGGAAGAGGAGGGGGTGTGGGATAAACGGGGGTAGTGAGTGTAACATCTGTACGAGCTCAACTTCTCAATCAGACTCACAGTTAGTTTGGATTTGGAGTTGTGTTGCCACGGAAACATGGAGGTGTAAGGGTAAGTTCAGATCTTATGACTTGTCAGAAGTACTTGATGTTGCTTTCTGAGAGAAGAACCTCACATCCAGCTCCAAGCCATGTGCGTAAAATGAGTTGTTGAGATGTTTCTTCTAATTATTAGAGCATAAACAGAAAAACAGAATTAGTCTTGAAGAATTCTGGGAAACATACCAGCAAATAACAATACATACTTAAGGTTTCCATGACAATCACGTCAAGAAAATTGAATATTCTGCAAAAATACTATTCAAGTACTAACTAAGCCTGAATCATTCTTAGTAAACATCTTTTTAAATGATGTAATAAGTGATCCAGATGAATTCTTGTGTATATCGAGGCTTCACAAACTCATGAGCGTCCATCTGCTCACTCTGGACCAATCACAGGACAGCATTATGGTTTGGCCACAAGGCAAAAGTGAAGCACCAAAACAAACCAAATCAAACACGCCGACGCCTGCAGACAGACACTGTAAAAACTTATAATCTGTATCATCTTAACAAGTTATAATGACTTGAATTAAGGAAATGTTATCTTGATTTGAGTCAATTTCACATGCCAATCCTTTAGATAACCACTTAAAATAAGAAAGTAAATCTTATGGTGCTTGAATCCTGAAAAAATAAAATACTTCAAGTCCAGTCTACTCAAATTAAGTTATATGTTCTTAATTTAGTTTTAACTCACCTGCATATTAGTTTGTGCATGTACATGTTCCACAGTATAACACTAAATTGACATTTAATAGTTAGTTAGTAGTTAGTTATACTTAGTTCTTTGCTTTGTTTATCAATGTATATTTGTGTATATATGTATATGCACAATGCATATGTGTGGCTCCAGGTAAGCACTCCAAATGTTTAAAAAAAAA